CTAATCTTGTTTTTCTTTATACTTCTAGTTTTGCTCCTCGTAATATTTATATTGATTTTCTTCGCGAACTTATAGATCTATCTTCATAATTATTCGGTAAAATATCCATTAAGTAATTATAACATTTAGTAATAGTTTTGAAATCTTAAAGTATGGCTTATTTGGAAGTCAACCCAGTAGTTGTTATATCCTAGTAGTGACTATAATATGTCACAACTATACTTGTCAGTATGTTTTTCATATTATTGTGCAGCAATAACTCTGAAAGGCTAGTTTTTCTTTAGATCATATTTGAAATTTATGATCTCAAGTGACAATCTGATATCATACTGCTTGATACTTCGCTGATCAGTTGAAGCCTAACTCGGGATAGCTATCTATTTACAAACGTTCTTTACTACTTATGAGGTAACATCTTCATTAGCATCCTAAGCTAATTATGCATATTTTTGATAATGATCTAAAACATTTTTTTAAAAATTCACCAAAGAAAATTATGTAAACGGTTATTAAGATATAAAAAATATACTAGATATTGCTCAAATTGAAAGTTACGCCTACCAACAATACAATATTGAAGTATATATAATCTTCCCAAAGTTATTAATAAATAAAAATAGAATAGAAGTCGTTGGTCTGATGGAATATAATAGTATCATTCTTAAATTAGTCACTGTCGCGTTTTAGTGTCTCTCATATTACAGCATGACTAATTAAAAATCATGTTAATAAAATTATGAAACTTTAAATATGATCTCATGGATATGTATGTATGCATCCAAATATAGTTTACATGTGTTTTTAATTTTAATTGTATACACATATTCTATGTACTTGTACTTTCCATGCAAAAATTAGATATATAATAAACGAACAAAAAGCAAACCGGTGGTTTAAATATACTATAAATTACCAAACTTATTACTCAATATTTTCCTATAGCCTGAGTGTACTTTATAGATGAAAATAAAATATCTCAAGTGTTATATGAAGAATGACTGCACAAATATAACAATTCTATGCGCAGTTAATAGATGAAAAGGTCTAAAGCCTCATTATATTATATTATGGATAAATATTAAAAACTCATTAAAAATGAAGAAAAGTTGCAATTACAGTTTTAATAGTCTTTAGTATATTCATGATCCTGTGTACGCTCAAACAAGTGTTTTAAGTAAATTATTGGCCAAAATATGTCTCTAAAATTGAAACTCATTAAGTGTATTGTATTACGACTTGTTCGAGTAGCTGTTTGTTGAATAATTTTATGTGTTTCTGCGACAACTTTGCATAAGAACTCATAATTTGCATATTGTTTTTCCCATAGAATGTACGAGAATAATAAATGTGTGCAAACTATATATTTTTATAAAATTTCACAGGATTATTTCTGTAGTAATGTCTACGAAAAATTTATGTATTTCATATTGAAAGATATTAACAATATAAATATTTTCTGATAAAGTAGTTGTTTAAAAAATGAATAGTGTTATGAAATAAATAAACGTATACATATATAGGAAAAATTAATATTTGAAGATAAAAGAAACAGCAAAGATACACCAAGGGGGTATAGTTTTTATGGGATCCTAAGTATTATACTAATTATAAAAGTGACATAACTGTCAATTTCATAAAATTTCCACGAATTACTAAAATAATTAGCACAACTCTTTAGATTAATATTTCTAATTAATCATTCATTAAGTGTGTGTATTGATTACATCATTAATTCTGATACAACGAGCGAAACCATGAAAGAATATAGAAATAGTTACTTAGGTAAGCAACGTATTTCTTCAATAATTATTACATATTAATATATACTTTGACTTTAAAAATCAACTTTATCATAAATGCCATGTGTATGCCAAATTTAAGATATAGCACTTTGACAGTAGAACTGTCAGTTTGACAGTATGGACACTGCATAGCCATGCATTTATAATATAACACAAAATGTGATCAAGAATGAATAAATATTAAATATGACACTAAAACGATTATTGATCGATGTATGAAGCAGTAAGTTCATATATTAAATGTATATAAACAATAATCTAAAGGATTTAAAGAGAAAGTTACCTATTTTCAACTCCAGCAGCAATGGCTGCCAACTTGACGGCTTCGTACTCAGAAAATCTGACCACAAACACTCACAGCTTAACACTATTAAGTAATTTAACATTAAGTAAAAACACTGACAATCAACACTATACAACTACAAAACAAGTAAAAAAATTTAAAATAAACGTATGTCACAATAATTCACATGGCAACTCAGTTTTGTTTGTGATATAAGTAATATAATCTATTATATATAATTATTATTCTTGTTCGTTCACTAATTAATATTCTCATTTAGATAACTTTTAATATATGTTACATTTGGGGTTGTTTTTATTTTGTTTATTTATATAAGAGTCCATATGCGAATGTCAAACGAGCGCACAACCTACTTCCATCAATTTCTCAAACCGACTGTTTGCAATCGCGAGAGGGGATACAAGATAGCGGCCAGAGTAGTCGGAACATAGTAATAAAACAGCTCACTCGTGCGCAGTGAGGCTGATTCATCACAGTTTGACGGTGTCATAATGGCGTCATGTCAATGTTTGTGACCTAATCAGGGGGTACATCGCAACAAGAATTTGTTGGCAACATTAAATTAATTTCTACTTTGATACTAAACTCTTAGTTAAAAACAAAATGTGTTTGTATTTAGGCTCTTACGTAATACTTAATATATTCTTGTTGTCAAATTAATTTATACAATTTGCCGCCAAATTTCGAATGTCTTTGTTGGTGGTCCTTGTAGTTTTTCCTTATTTTGTTTTGACGTAAATGTGTTAGCTGTTTTTTTAGGTTAGAAATTACATTTTTCAAGATTTCTCTCAAAACATTTTACATAATCTAATTATGTAAATATATCTTTATCTAAGAGAATAAAAAAGATGTAATACAATTCAGAGGTCATTAATAGAAATATAAAATACCTAATATCAACGAAAACATTCCTAGCTGTCAAACAAGCACATCAGAAAAATTTATCAACAGAGCCTCAATATTTTAATTTACTTTTAATATTTTAAACAAATATAAGAATTGTTTCAAACATCAAAAAACATTATTATAATAATTGCATATGCTCAGATTCACAATTTGTTTGCAAATAACTTTTTTCTCTGCACATATTATTTGTGTATTCACTATTAATAATGCTTACAATACTCTAATATTGTCAAAATAATATTCATATCACAAATCCTTGTTATAATAGCCCAAAAATTAAATTATATTCAATTATATTATAAGTCAAAACAAGTAAAATAGTAATACATGTATACTACTATTAAAACTACTAATTTATAGCTTTTGTAAATCGTATCAGCAAAAACATTCCTAGTATAACAAAAATTGTTGTTGGAGCTTTATCAAATTTTTGAGAATTATTTTAAAAACTTAAACAAAAAACATTTTTATAATAATTGTACATGCTCAGATTCACAAATTGTTTGCAAATAACTTTTTTCTCTCTACATATTATTTATGTGTATTCACTATTTCAATGCTTGTTGCTCATTTATAATACTCTAATAATGTCAAAATAATATTCTAATCACAAAACCTTGTTAAAGTTGCTCAAAAAATAAATGATATTTAATTGTATTATATGACAAAACGAGTAAAATAAAAATACACACGTGTACTACTATTAAAATTACTAGTTTATAACACAAATTGATGTTGGAGCTGTCAAGAAAGTTGCAAAAATATTTATCAAGAGAGCAGTGCCTCGTTTTAAACAACTTAAATATATATATAAACCACATAAATATATATATGTTTAAAAATTTTAAAGTTGTTTAAAATATGTGTAATTTTTATGAACCTTTCAAAATGATTCTTATATAAGGTTCATAATTGTGCATGCTCATATTTACAATTAACTAATTCTTTAATATTATTGTAATAATATTGTAGCTCATTTATATTAATATATTAATTTCTAAATAATATTCCGATCATAAAATCTTGTTAAAATAGCCAAAAAGATAAATGATATTAAATAGTATTATAAGTTGGACCAAATGAAATAGTACATCATACTTATACTACTATCATAACTACTAATTAATAGCAATAGTACAATCAATGAGCTAAATTATAAAAGAGCATGAAAGAAATAGTAATACACACTAATATTGCTATTAAAACCATTAATTTTAACTGTTATTCACGGTATTGTACAACCATTTGTAAAGTGGATCAAGTGAAATAATACACACTTATGCTTTACTTCTAAAATCACTTATTAACATTGGAAGACCAGTCATGAGTTAACTCTTGTTTTATGGCCGAATTGCTGATCGAAACTAGATAAATTTTCAGTAAATTTGCAGGTCATCAAAGTGTTGATAGTAAAATTCATTAATAATAAAATTTATTATTAATTTCTAGGCTTAATAATAAAAAATATTGTAATTGACATGAGTATTTAAATGTATATCTCTCAAATACTCAAAGTATTTCTTATCATCATATAAATATATTCTGCATAATACTATTCTTTTCAATGTTTCGTGACTCAATTATAATTACAATGTTACTACAATCACCAAAACTCAATAAAACATCCCAAAACAAAAAAACGCACTTTTAATTTAAATATTTAATTGTATTAAAATTTGTGAGTGTGTAATATGAATAAATCTTTAACTACAAAATAAAAAATAACAGTAAGTAAATCTAATAAGAATAACTAAACATATATCTTAAATTATTTAGGTACATTTGTTTTTTTAATTATTTCAGAAAATCTAGATATATTAAGCGTTCTGTTTAATCACATACATTTTAAGTATAAATCACATAAATAAGTTACAGTGAGTATTGTACGTTCAACTTGCCAGATAATAACGGCACTTTTTACCTTAATAATTTTAAAATATTAGTTTAATTACTATCAGTTATGATTCATATCTCAATAATTCACCGGTATTGAACATCAAAAGTTGTATAAGAAAATGTTTTTAAAAAAATATTAAGATTAATGACAAGAATTACTTCACCAAAGTAAGGAATAAAAAGTCATTATAAAGCATAACTAAAACAAGTCTTTAAACATTACACTGTCGACTCACTTCTTCTCAAAGGTTTCAACAACCTTAGTCCATTGTTATAATATTCCTGGACAGATATTTCATCTTTATTGTTTCTCCATTGGCGCATCTCCAAGCTGTCAAAAACATCAATAAAAAAACTTGAATTGCTTTAAAAATATTCACTAAAATACATATTGGGTGTAGTCCAAGTTTTCATTCAAATTAGAGTTGAAAAATTACAAGTCAAAAAGTAAAGCACTTACAATTTGCTTATTCTAATATTAAAAACAAAACAAAAAAACAATTTTTGTCATTAAGATATAGTAATGCACTATATTACATGATATAAACATTAAAACAGTTATATCTATAACAATTTTACTAACTTAACATAGAATAAGCGTGCAATTTGTGTGAACTAGATGAAAATATAAAAATAAAACTTTTTAAATATGTATTCATACCTTTGAAGTTGAATTACCATCTAAGCGCTCTACATCTGCAAAACTCAAATTGCTCAATGCCGCCCGAAACAGTACATCATTTATAATTCTTTCGGCAAACAATCTTTGTTCTTTTGTCATTTTTCGCAAACATGATACGACATATTTCCCATAAACGTTAAGGCTATCTTCCCTCATAGAACGTTTCAAATGTTCATTAATCAAAAGCAAGGTCTTATTTGTCAAATCTTCTGATACATTACGCTCATCTTCTAAAGATGAATCACTTATTGTGTCTATATCATCCATAATCTCATCATCAGCATCCTGAAAATAAATATTATGTTTCAGATATTTGATAAAAACCTAAGGAATGTATCATCAGATAAACTTATCAAAAGTCCAAAATACTTCCATAAGTATTTGAAACTGACAAAGCTTTCGTTTCAAGAATGAACATGGCGAAATTATTTCGGCAATCAAATTCATTTAAATTCAAACGAAAGTAAAATCTACAAGTTTCTAGAGCAAGGCGCATTGTTAAGATTTTAGCTTCAAGATACAAGATATATAAAACTCAAATTAATAATTATCCAAAAAATACAGATAAGTTTGTAATGGCAAGGCTTTGCACAAATATTTCGGCCTTTACAAACTCATACATCGAAAATGCAACGAGACGATGGATAACCTCATATTCTGGTTAAATTCTAATAAAATATCGCAACAAAACTCAGGAAATAAATAAATAATAAAATAAATATTATAGAACAACATGTATACTATTTCAACAAAGAGAGAAACGTACTGTGGCAAGATAACTTCATTCGTTAAGATGATTAAGGAGATTACTATATATAAAACACGGATTTTTAAAATATAGTAATTATAAACTTACTTGAAAAGACATATTTCCATTTATATTTGAAACAGAACGTCTAGACATCTTTATAAATGCTTTTTATAAAAGTTTGTATAAGCACCAAAAACACTGTGTATGCATCAAATCACAAAACGTTTAAACGGAAAATATGTTCTGGGTTAGGTTCAATCAATGGCCGACAGTATTTGTGAAATGGCGCTAAGTTAAGAGCGGCGCGAATTTCAAATATAAAATTTAACATTTTGTCATTAGTTGCTTATTTGTGGAGAATAAAAATCATATCGTAGTCAATTATTAAGTGTTTTACTTATATTAACAAAAATTCTTGACAATTCATTTACTGATTTGATACATAAAGGACTCATTGGACGGTAATCAAATCTCCAAATATGATTCATAATGCACACAAACATATATAGTAATATAAAAACCAAGAATAGAGTAATTACATAATTGTATTTATGGAATAAGATATCATCAAGAGCCTATATTGAATAAATAATATAAAATTAAAAAAGAGTGGTACCGAATATTGAACATGTTAAAAGCATTGTAATCAAAGATCAATTACATTTTTATTATGAGTATTCTTTAAAAGAAATAACTGAGATTGAATTTAAATAATTAATTAATGCATATTCACAATTCACAATTAATTCACAATTTAAAAAACTCAGCTTGTAAGTTAAAAATTATCCGAAGTAGACAATCATATAAAAAAGTTACAACTAATTAGCAAAAGCTCATGCTTCAATGTACAAAATAAATCAAATTATTCACTATATTTTTTTTTTCATATCATAGATTTTTAAATCATATGTATAGTACTTGTTTTACTACTCTTTTATGTGAATATTTGATTTATAATTGAATTCATCCTGGATATTATGTCTGTTTTCAGATCATTTTAAAAAAATGTGTTAAATTGCATGATCTGCAACCTTTTCTAACATTAAAATTCTCAAAGTAACTTGATATGCTATCAAATTGACTTCGATTATTATTTTATGTCAAAGCATATCATACCTAAAATTTAGCTGAAACAAATTATTTTTACATAATATAATTTTTCACTAATACTACATAATAAAATCTAATTATAAAATCTAATTATAGATTCAAATATTTATTAGAATTACTTTATTTATTAACAACTTTATATCTATATATTTTATTCTTATACCTTTATTAGCACTAATTATAGAACACCAATTTCTGGTTCTTTTGTATTTGATGGTGCATATTGTTTGCATAAACGTTCAAATTCATTTTCTTTCTGATACAAGTCCTTAACAAAAGAATGTTGGCTGTGAGAGTCTTTCAATTGAGATATGTATCTTGAAGCAACCTAAGTTAAGTAAAGATGAATTAGAAAAATATTTAAATTTTGATTAAGCGCAGAACATTCTTTTTGAAACTAGCATACAATCCAATATTCATTTTATTAATACAAATATGTTTTCAGCTAATAATCTAATATTAGGAAATTTGCACATTGACAAATTTAGATCTTCAGACAATAGTCTTACCTCTGGAGCTTTACCCAAATGTTGGCTAATAACGCTCATATTGATTAATGTGTCAACATGATTGGGATCTTTATCTAATGCATTTTGCAATGAACCTTCTGCCTCTTGCCATAAGCCACGATTTGCTAAACTCACAGCTTGACCATTTAATAAAGCTGGTGTTGGAGTAGCTTTATCACAAAGTTCTTGGTATGTATAATAGGCATCTTGTAATTTATCGCCGCCCTATGGATAAAACAATGATAAATAACACTGAATGTAAAATAAAGATCAGAACTGATGCATTATTGAAAATCGGTTCATGGAAACGGTACTTCAGTTCATATTTAAATGTATTTAAACTTATATAATATTTATTCAATCTATTCAGGTGAATGTGTATAATACATATATAATTATTGCATACATACTTAAAATATGAAAAAGAATGTATTATTTGAGTTCACTTACAGACACAACATTCACCCAAGCCTGTGCCAGTTGAGTTAACGTTGCATCATCATCTAACTCTTGCATAGATTTCAGTTCTTTTCGAGCTAAGTCTACTCTGTCCATTTTTAACAGAGTTTGCAAAGTCATTGCTAAGCACTCTAAATGATCTGAACCATGTAATAACCTGTAAATAGAAAACAAAATTATAAAAAAGAATAACAGAAACAATTTTTATGTTAATAAAACAACCTCAAGACTGCATCCATATTGTTTTCATTATAATATATAGTAGCAGCTGAAATCAAGAATGATTCCAAAGTAGCATCATCACCACCTTTTGCAATTTTCTCATCTAATTCTGACAATATTTCTGGTCTTTTTGAGGGTTGTGCATAATATTCTGCTAGAAGCTTTAGTGGTTGCAGGGCTGGAGAAGAACTCTTAGTGATTTCATCCAAAACAACTCTGTATTTTGATTGAGCAATGTATGCTCTGTATAGGAAAATATCTCGTTGAACTGAAATATCAGGGCTAGAAGGCTAAAATAACAAATATTATTAATTATAAATATTCTATATGTTTACCTAAAGTGATAACTTCATCAGACAACATTATCAATGATGACAATAATAATTACTCCAATAATTATTAATCAAACGTTTCAAGATCTACTTGCCATATGTATTGACATGACTTAATTATTCGTCAATTTCATCAATTTTGAAATTCATAGGTATCGAATAAAGTTATAATTAAACTAAAAACGTTAAGAATTATTGTGCAACGATAATGTTTTAAAAATAAAACATAAAAAGATGCCTTTTCTGATATTACAAATAGAAATAATATAATATATGGAACACTTCAGTGTATAAGAAAAATATAAAAAAAAATATATTTATGTATATCACAATTTAACTAATAAAATAATAACAAATAAAATAAAATTTTTAATTAATAACAACAAAATTAACTAATTCAACTTTTACAAGTGAATAAGTGTGCGATTTATAAACTGACTAAAGTTTTAAAATTCACAGATTCCTAAAAGCACTTTTAACAGGATAATACCGTTTATGAAAACAATTAAATAATTTTTCAGATCACATTTTAATTACCTAATAAGTTATGAAACGCAATCTAAAAAACCAATTGATATATCACAGAAGGGTATATCTCATTATGTTTTTTTATTGCTTTTTCGTTATGTAGTCAAAAAAAAAAAATCTATCCTTGAAGAAAACAGTTTTTGGAGAATGGGCGTTTTATAGAAACCTACAATATAGTCTTGTTATTTCTTATAATATAGACTTATATTATTATATTTGATGTTCTGTCGACATAGTTTTGAATTGTTCAGGATTTTTGAAATGTTTGTTTGTTGAAAGCTTTTGATTCGACTTATTTGATATATATATATATATATATATATATATATATATATACATTTATATATATACATATATCTTGTGTGGGTATATATATAATAAAAATTGATATAAACCTTTAATTTCTGGGCCTCATTTATGCACTGTTGAAAATTGCCGGTGTAAAAAGCATATTTAATATCGTATAATTCATCAACATCAGATTGTTGAGGTGCCATAGCAGATGCTGAAAACAATCTAAATAATAAAAGCACACAAAATATTAAATATTTTGATAAATATCGAAAACTTGCACTTTTCTTTAACGCAAATGACGTTTCTTGGGTGACGTTTACATTTACTACAAACCAATGTGAACTTGCAGATTAAGACACAGGTTGACACATAGATAAAAGAAGAGTATATAGATCGCTCTCTCGGGCCATATTTCGTTGCCACATTCCTGTGTTAGTTGAAGCCCCCCGCTACAGATGGCACTAGTCGCCTGAACGGGTGCGTATAAAAAATACTATAGAAATGAACCAAAATTATATGGACCGTTTTAATTCAAAATTTAAAAAAAGAAAAATTGAAAAAAAAAAAAAATTAAAAGCATTTATTTTTCACAAAAAACATTCTACATTATATCTACATAGTTCTCTTTATAAACAATGCACACATAGCATAGAAATGTACATAAATATACACATTATCCACAATGTATATATATAGATATATATATATATATATATATATATATATAACATTATATATGATTATAATAGATGGTAGTAAGCTGTATAAACTATGTGCGAAAAGCATAAAAATGTACATAAATGTACACGCTATCCACAATGTATATATATATATATATATATATATATATATATATATATATATATTATATATATATGAGTAAGTTCTTCAAGGGCATACATCAAATAAAGGCAAAGATTTAGAAGTTAATCTTTAATTTTTCCAAACGTTTCGACATAGTATTTTATGTCATCATCAGTGGATCTACAGAATGAATATTGAAAAATAATATAAACTAGGAAAAAATGACAGAAATTGGAAAAAGAACTATAGATATAAGTAATATAATTATAACAATAACAATTATACTTAACAGATAGATAAACAAGAGAAATGAAAAGTAAAAAGAATATATACAAACATACAAAAGCGTAATATATATACATAAATATACACCAAACAAACGTGTATATATGATATACATGTAAAAACACGTACACATATGCATATATACATACGAACAATACGTATATATAAACATATACATACGGACATGTACATATGTATATATACACATATATACATACATCACATACACGTATACACATATACATACATACATATATATACACATATATATATTATATATATATATATATATATATACATATATATATATACATACATATGCAATACATACATATTGCATATGTATGTATATATATATATATGTATATATATATATATATATATATGTTGTGTATATCTCTGTATGTCTGTAATGTGTATACGTGCTGTGTATGTATGTATATATGTGTATATATACATATGTACATGTCCGTATGCTATGTTTATATATACGTATTGTTCGTATGTATCTATACTGCATTGTGTACGTTTTTTACATGTACACACCCAGGCCTCGTTATACGGCCGCTCTTTATATACGGCCTTTCGCTATAACGGCCCTCTTTAATTAAGGAACGTTTCGATATACGGCCTAAAATGTTTTGCTATAACGGCTTTTTCAACTTCCCGTAGGGCAAGTTACAGTAATCGCA